CGGGGAGAACCAGAGGGATTATAGAACCCTACGGGGAGAACCAGAGGGATTATAGAACCCTATGGGGCGAACCAGAGGGATTATGGAACCCTACGGGGCGAACCAGAGGGATTATACCGGCCTGAGAAGCCCTGTGGATCCCTCAGCAGGGATTTCTTGGTTTCCGTCCTAAAGCTCAGGGTTGTTCTCTGATGATCAGTTAAGCTGCTTATTCAGGTAAACTGGTCGCTGCTGATATCACCACAGCCTTTTCAAACCATCTGATCTATTGACCCTCTGCTCCATCTGTATAGGTTTTTGATAACGGGTTGATATGGGTTCCAGTCGATAGAGTTTAGGTCCAGATTACAGGCCAAACAGATTTTCCTCCATCCTCTGGTCCTCCTATGTAGTATTTTGGATTATCTGTGCACGCGGAAGACCAGAGGGATCTAAGTGTGTTTGACCCGATCATCAAGAAAGAAATGTATTTTCGCCAAACATCATTTAATGCTTAATAAACCATCAGCAGAGTTTTGGAGTCTTTTTCTCGACAATCAGGGAACCAGTGCAGAGATTTGATGCTTAATGTGAGCCTTTGGTCAGGAGCACTGGGATGAGCTGCACCTGCCTGCCTGGAGGCAGACATCTAATCCAGGACCCAGAGTAGGTGTTGGGACCTCCTAGGGGGCTGCAAGATGGTAAAAATGGATTAAGATATAAGCCTTTCATTTCAGTCAGTATAATGATTAGGGCTGAAACAATTAATGAGATAATCATGATTAATCGATTAATGAAATAATAAACTGATTTAATAATCAATCATTAACTGAAGTACAGAGAGTAAACCTGTCTTTAGCTGACAGAGTGACCCACTTAGAGCAGGAATTATACCAAGATTGTAAAAAATATGTAAACATTTTACATAACAAAAATAAAAAATACTTCTATCAATCTGCTCTATCCAGAGCTCCTCAAGTGGAAAAGTTCACCTTGTTTAATTTCATAAAAAACGTATTTAAGGAACCTTTGGGCGCTAAGTTGGCAACACTGCTCTTTGCATGGTTTGTTTTCAAATGGTTTGCTGCTGTCTGTTTGGACCTTTCTGAACATGTGCAGCAAATGGACTGATCCAATATGGTGGACGCTGAAGGGGGCAGGGGGAATTTGATCAAAAACATAATTAATGTGCACAAATAAGGAATAGTTGTATTAACCATACATGTAAACAGAGTTTACAGGAAATTGGGGCCTTAGGTATTGCCTAATGGTAAATCCCCCCTGAATTCGGTACAGACATGTTTTCTGTCCTCAGGGTGGAATCCAGTGTGGAGCAGCCCGTGGATGTCAGCGTTCCTAAGGACATCCAGCCTCCTGCTCTTCCCGGTAAGCTCCATAAAACTGGCAACGCTCCAACATGTAGCCTGTAGGATGACAGAAAGGGTTTGCTTCCTGTTCCAGCCAAACATTACGATGCAGAGACAACCGAACCCATCAGCTGTGGTCTTTGCTCATTGGATGAGTTGTTGTCATGGAGCTCAAGCGAGGCGAACCCCCTCAACGTGGCAGCCATTCCTCTGGTACCCCGGGAGCCTCGCCTGGTGGACTGTCAGCGTCGCACGCTGGTGTCTCATGATATGATGGGTGGATACCTGGACGACCGGTATTCTGTCTTCTGTCTTTGGGAGGGTTACATTCAGATCAATCAAATGTCACACTGGCGTCTTTTTTTAAAGGTTTATCCAAGGATCAAATGCCGAGGCGCCGTATGCCTTCTACCACTGGCAGTACATCGATATCTTCAACTACTTCACGCACCACATGGTGACCGTTCCTCCAGCCGTGTGGACAAACGCTGCTCATAAACACGGAGTCATCGTTCTCGGTAAGCAGGTTAACTTCCATCCATCTGGATTAGTGTCCTGAAGCTGCGTATTACAGCGAGTGGCTGAAGTCTTCACACTGCCCTTCATGTTAAAGATCCTTTATTTGGGTTTTGAGTTGATGGACACAGAGTAGACATTTTAAATGTTTTAAAGCAGATGAAAGCTGATGTGTTGTTTTTTAGAGGAAGGTTTTAATTTTTTGCAAAGAAAACTCTGAGAAGTGTTGAATGCGTATGTAATCACCCCTTTCTAAAATCCTTAACGAAACATTTCCTTCAGAAATCGACTCTTACGCAGCGCTGAAAGAGTTAACCTAATTATTCGAATATTCAAATAATCGTCAACTAATTTAGTAATCATTAACTAGAGTATAGATACTCTAAAACACGCCTTTAGCTGACAGAGCGACAAACTTACAGGAGCAATTATACCAAAATTGTAAAAAAAAAAAAAAAAAATTAACAATTAAAAAAAAAAAAAAAAAATACTACTTTAAATCTGCTCTATCCAGAACCCCTCAAGTGGAAAATTTTGAGTTTCACCTGAATTAATTTAATAAAAAATAAACAACAGATGAATTGATTTGCAAAATAATTGTGTGTAGCAGCGCTGCTCCTATGTAAACACAGTTTCTGCTCTTGTTATGTAATCTCATTATAAATTCAGCAGACTGCTCAGGGAGGAGTGGAAGACTTCTGATACACAAACCTAACATTCTTCTATACAACAAGATTTATTAGAATCAGGTGTCAAAAGTTATTGTTTATTAATCCAGTAGAAGTAGAAAGTAAGAGGGTCAACTTAATCTTTTTACTTTATTAAATGTGTAAAAGTACCATTTTTAAAACTACTTAAAGTATAAAAGTAAAAGAAATGCAGGAAAAAATGTTAAGCTTTACTGCACT